CTCACATATTGGTGAATAGTCCTGATAACATGGTGTGTATTCCTGTCCCCATTTTACAGATGAGGTTGAGGCACAGGAAGGTTATGTAATTTATTTAAGGACATGTAGTAAATGTCAGGGGAGCTGGGCTGAACCCATGCCTTTTGATTCCTGGGACTGTGCCCTTGCCACTCCACTGGAGGTTCAGTTCAGTTCAGTCACTCAGTCATGTCTGACTCTTTGCAACCCCATGGACTGCAGCACACCAGGCTTCCCTGTCCATCACCAACTCCTGAAGCTTGCTCAAACTCATGTCCATCGAGTCAGTGATGCCATCCAAGCATCTCATCCTCTGTTGTCCCCTTCTCCTCCTGCCTTCAATCTGTCCCAGCATCAGGGTCTTTTCAGATGAGTCAGTTTTTCACATCAGATGGCCAAAGTATTGGAGTTTCAGCTTCAGCTTCAGTCCTTCCAATGAAGAGTCAGGATTGACTTCCTTTATGATTGACAGGCTTGATCTCCTTGCAGTCCAAGGGACTCTCAAGAGTTTTCTCCAACACCACAGTTCCAAAGCATCAATTCTTCAGTGCTCAGCTTTCTTTATAGTTCAACTGAGAGAGTCCTTTTCTAGGCAGGTTGATAGGAAGTCTAGGGGTCCCCAAGGAGAGGGCGGGGGGGGTCTGGAATTCTCAAGGAGGAAGAAAGGACAAACTTTTTTGTCCCTCTACATTCCTTAGGATTATATAACAATAATGTATCCTGCTTGAGGACAGTCTCTGGAAAAAACCTTCTGGCTAATCCTGTTATCTTAAGGTGTAAATTATGGGAGTAGGTCTAGTGAGGTCTTTACAACCTCCAGACATTCTTTGGATTCATTGGAGAGTATATAACTCTATTGCTAACACTAGCAAGGGGGTACTTTTTCTACCCCCTTCTGATGTCTATGTCAGAAGCTTTCTCTGTCCCTTTTATACTTGAATAAACTCTATTGCACAAAAGCTCTGAGTGATCAAGCCTCGTCTCTGGCCCTGGATTGAATTCTTCTCCTCCAGAGGCCAAGAGTCCCAGCGTCTTTGCATGTTCAACAACAACCTTTTACAACTCTCACATCCATACATGACTACTGGAAAAACCATAGCTTTGACTAGACAGAACTTTGTTGGAGGTTCTAGGGTGCCTAAGCCTTGTCTACCATTTTTTACCCGGTCTTTGGACTCTGCTATGAAGCTTGATTTGCTGGAACACCAGAGGCCAGACGGTAAGAAGCCCAGCTGTGCTCAGCAACTTCTGTATCTCATCTGGTGAGGGGCATTGGAATCTCTCCCCAGTGCGGGGTTTGGGAGACTTCTGATTTCAAGACAAAAACCAAGCAGGTCACAAAACTTGGAGCACTGTCATTAGAAACCTTCTAGAAAAAGTTAGTCTGGGTGATAGAAGTCAGAATAGCAGTTCATTTAGAGGCAGGCAAGTCAGAGGTTTTGCATATTGACTAGACAGAGGTTCCAGGGGAACTTCTGGGGCGATACTATCTTGATCTAGATAGTGGTTAAATGGGTGAAGATAAATATAAAAATTTATCGAGCTGTACACTCAAGGTTTGTACACTTTGCTATGTGTCATTTACATTTCAAAAAAGATGAATAATAAAAAAGAAATTCTTAAAAAAATATTCTTCATCAAAATTAAAATATTTACCATGCCAAAGATCCAGCTAATAGAATGAAAAGACAAGGGGCTGAATAGGAGAAAATATTTGCCAGTCACATTTTCAACAAAGGACAAGGAATTCTCAAAACTTAACAGCAAGTAACAGACAACCCAACTTTGAAAGTAGGCAAAAGACTTGAATAAACACTTCAACAAAGTTAAGAGGAAAGCAAATAAATACAGAAAAAGTTGCTCAATTATTGGTCATTAGGGAAATGCAAATTAAAACCAGGATGAATTACCACTACAGATCTGAGTGAGTGAGTGAGTTAAGTCGCTCAGTCGTGTCTGACTCTTTGCGACCCCATGGACTGTAGCCCACCAGGCTTCTCAATCCATGGAATTTTCCAGGCAAGAGTACTGGAGTGGGTTGCCATTTCCTTCTCCAGGGGATCTTCCTGACCCAGGGATCGAACCCGGGTCTCCCGCACAGCAGGCAGACGCTTTACTGTCTGAGCCACAAGGGAAGCCCTACAGATCTGTCAGAGTAACAAAAATAGGGAAATACTGACAGTACTGCCAAGTGTTAGAGAGAAGGCAACAGGAACTCTCATTCATTACTGGTGGAGCACAAACTCATACTCTGGAACATAGTTTGGCAATTTCTCATAAAGTTAATACACTTACCATACAAGTCAATAATCCACTAGGGATTTACCTGAGAGAACTACAATAAAATGAAAATAAAAACCTATACACTATATGAAAATTAAAGAAGAAAAAAAAATGTTTTAAGAGAAAAAAACATCCTATATACTATATACTCAGAGCAACTTTATTTGTAATTGCCAAAAACTGGCTAAAATGGGTAAGCGCCTCACTTGACTTATTCATATACCATGGCATACTATCCAGAAACAAAAACAAATTATTCATATGTGCAACAACTTGGACGAATCTCAAAGGCATTGTGCTGAGTGAAAAAATCTGGTCTCAAAAAATGTTACATGCTATATGACTCCATGTACGTGACATTTTAAAAAAGACAAAACTGAAGTGAGGAGACTAGATCAGAATAGCAAGAGATGTGGTGGGGGGGCGGGGGGGAATATGTGACTACAGAGGGGTAGCAGAAGGGAGTTTTGGGGTGCAGTGGAGCTGCTCTATATCTTGATGGTAGTAGTGATTTGACTGCAAATCTGGGGCCCATGGAGCCCCATCTCCTTTGCTCACTCCTCCATCCTCAGTGCCTGGAACTTAGGGATGGGGTACGTGCTCACAGACACAGTGAAGGAATGTTCTGGCTCCAGCCCTGATTCATCTTGGCACCCTTTGCAGACTACTCCATATTTAGCTTGCTCTCCGGCTGCCTACTGGACAGGCTGCGGCTGGAAGGCATCACCAGCCCCCCTTCACAGCCCAGGCCTGTTTCACAGGATCAGCCCTCCTGGAAAGCAGAGTCTCCAGCTGTCCTATAGTCTGAAATCTGTAAATATTAGCGATCTGAGGAGTTTATTGTTGCTGCTGATTTAATTTTCTTTTTTTTTTTAACCACGCCACACAGCATGCACAATCTTAATTCCCAACCAGGGACAGAACCCACACCCGCTGCGGTGGAAACATGGAGTCTTAACCACTGAACTTGCCAGGGAAGTCCCCATTTTAGTTTTTGAAGTACATTTTTACTGTAAAAATAACATCTGTTCAATGTTTAAAAGAAACATCAGTCTAAAAAAAAAAATTGTAGTCTCACTACTAGTTCTTTCTCCGCCTATTTAGAAACACATCTATGTATGTAAGCGTGTAGAGAGGGAGTTCTCTGTTGGCTCAGATGATAAAGAATCTGCCTGCAACACAGGAGACCCAAGTTTGACCCCTGGGTTGAGAAGATCCCCTGGAGAAGGGAGTGGCAACCCACTCCAGTACTCTTGCCTGGAGAATTCCATGGACAGAGGAGCCTAGCGGGCTACAGTCCATGGGGTTGCAAAGAGTCAGACATGATTGAGCAACTAACACACACAAGCATGTATATCCTTATAAATGTAATGGATATGAATGAATTGATCCACAGCTCTTGGGGCTCATATGATGTCCTATTTCTTTGTGGACTCATACCAAGTCTGGCTTCAACCCTGACCGTCACTGATGGTAGTCTAGTGTCTGACAGTCTTCAGACTCGCTGCCTTGGATCAAACAAGAAAGTCAAGGCTTCTGCAGTTCTGAGGACACAGATGAGATTCTGCTCCTCTGACCATGTGGTCAGCATCATCTTATTCTTTACCCAGGCCTCTGGGGTCCATCAGAAAGAGGCCACAAGTCTGACCTGGGTAATTCCTAATTGGGCAAGCACACCCTCAGCAAAGCCAGGAGAGGGGAATAAAAACACCAACTTTGGAAATAATTTGATATTCAAGACAAAGAAGAAAAAGGAAGAGGAGGAGATAGAGAACAGGAAGGCATCAAAGTAGTCAGGCATCTAGGAAAAAATCACATAGTACATCCTTAAAGCTGTCTTTGGTTTTATGCAGTTCTTTTCATTTTTAATTACATTGGGATGAGGGGCACCACAAGTTTCTATGTGTGTCCACCATCTCAATCTGGCCTTGCCTGGGGCGTGGGAAGCGGTTGTTGTAATTCTGAAAATACCCAGTGCAGAGTACCCATCGCAGTTCTTACAGAAGCTGACAGCCAGTCCCATCAGAGAGGTTGCCCTTGAAAAGGCCCAGCACTCCACATGCTCAGGAGAAACTGAGTCCCCAGAGGCCCAAGAATCATCCAAGAAAGCGGTTACAGCCTTTTCAGCCTCCCTTCTCAGACCAGACAGCCAGCACCCTCCAAAACCAAGGCCTGCATTGGTGTGGGCTTCCTATAAAGTCCCACCCAGCCTGATTCTTCCCTTTCTTTCTGAAACACACATACAAAAACAAACCCCTTAAGGGTCAAGGGTCCACAACTTTAAGGACACAAAGTCCTGACAATGCAGAAGAGGAACAGAAGAATTCCTTTATTCTTTGTTAATTCTCAATAGATTATTGTTATAATAAATGCATAAAAAAACAAAACAAAATAAATGCATAATAAGTTGTCCTGCTATATAACATATTTACTTAAATTTTCTCATTTCTTCAAATATGACGCCTGTTGGGAAAGTTATTGGGGGGGGAGATCAATTAGTAATCATTTATGAAATGTTTCTTGGATGAAGAACCCTATGATGGTCATAGTGCGGGAGATTTAAAGAAAAGACAGGATTCTTCTGAGAAATTTTAGGCCACTTTAGAAAACCAAACACATATACTATCTGAGAAATCCTTTGAGGACAACGTAGGCCAATGGATACTTACGGAGCATCTACTCAGAAAAGCTAGTATTTGCTGATACCCATCCCACGAGGTGCCAGGCCCTGTACTAGTTCCCTGGATACTGCAACCATCGTGATGGAGATGCTTCCCTCACAATGGAGCTCCGAAGGACAGGCATGAGACAAACAGAAATGAGGCGGTGACTCTTATAAAAGGTGAAAATAGGTCGCGGTAGGAATGCAGAGCCAGAGGACAAAACCCAGGATGGAGTATCAGGGAAGGCCTCCATTAGGGACTGACATTTAACTGAGACTTGCAAATGACAATCCAAAATAGAGAGACATCAGAGCTGGGGGAGGGGAAGCTGAGTTTATTGCTTATCTACAAGGGAGAGCCATGTTTCTCAAGAAGTAAGTCCAGTGGGTCTCCCTGAGAAGAAACTGAAAAGCCAAAATATAGACCCAGAAGGAGGAAGCTCACCAATAAAGCAGGAATTCAGTTCTGGTCGGTGACTCACAAAGGAAGTTGTACATGCCACCATCTTCAGTTCTTAGTTCTCAAAAGAGTATGTAATTCTCAAAGAGGTCCAAGTCAGATCCCGTGATGCCTCGATGGACTTGGGCCAAAAGGGGGCAAAACCATATCTGCTTATTGCAAAGCTAGATCAATTTTTCCTTACAAAGACCCAATAGAAGTAGAGTAGGCAAAGGAAGGAAGGAAGATGATAGAGAGCTTAGATCTGGTGATAGAAGGTGATAGAGGGCTTAGATATGCAAGAGATCTGGACATATTTGAGGAAGCAAGAGAAACTCAACTTACAGAAGCAGGAAGGCAGAGATTCTATAAAGCAAACGCATTACCAAGGACAAAATGAAACAATGGTGTCACCTCCCCCCAAGGTTTAGGGACCCTTCCTCCATGTGTCACTCAATACCATCAATAATCATGTACTTAAAGATGTAGTAGAATGTTCCACTTACTGCTCTGTGGATCCTCTGGAGGAGGGCATGGCACCCCACTCCAGTATTCTTGCCTGGAGAATCCCATGGACAGAGGAGCTTGAAGCCTGGAAGGCTACCGACAACGGAGTCACAAAGAGTCAGTCACTTAACATGCACAATCCTTCAAAAGGCTAAGGGCTCCTTGAGGGCAAGAACTGGGTATCCTATACCTGGAGTCAGGTCAGGCCTATGGTAACTGATTCACTGTATTTGTGAAATTGACTATTTTAAAGTGCTAAGAGGACAGATACACAGTAATTCAAGAAGGCATCTTGGTGCCAGGTGTTGTGGTTTCTTTGTATCCAGGGCACGGTGGTAGATGCTAGGGTTGTCTGAATAAACAAGAAAGCCAGTCATGGACCTTAAGCCAAGTGGCCAAGACAGACGTTAAACACAAGAGGACAAAAATTATCATTTATTTCTAGCTGTGGTAAGTGCTACAAGGAAAAAAAAGTACTGGGTATTGTGAATGCGTAATAGGGAGACTTAACTGAGAGAATGACCTTTGTGATAGTAAGGGTGAATTGATTGACTCACAGAACTAGGAGGTGAAGAAAGAAAGAAGAGGAGAGGGGAAGAGAGGGAGAGACTTTAGGAGTAATAAAAAGGAACAATACAGGTACATGAAGGCCTGATGGAGGAAGGAGTGCTGCTGAGAATACTGGAAGGAAATCCACTGGAATGGGAACATTAGCTACATTGGGATTGTGGAATTTGGGGTACTTATTATTTTCTTCTGTATGTACACATTTTGCATTTCACAGATTTTCCACAACAAACACGCATTATTTTAATCATCGGAGGGGGGCGGGGCTGGGAAGGGAACATTGTAAGTTTAAACAAAATAATAAAGGATGTGGGGAGAATGGGTGTCATGGAAGAAGGGGCACATTCCAGAGGGACTAGTGACTTAAGCGGTGAGTAATCTGCGTGGGGGAGAGCAACAAGCACGTTGATGGGGCTGGAACAAAGGAGCAGGGGTGACTCACGAATGATACAGTTGAAGCCGGTCCACCAAGGTCCATGAAGGTGAGGCCACAGAGTTGGAGGTGATATGAAAAGTCACAGTGAGCTAAAGGGAGCTCAGGAGCAGGGAGAGCAGGCACTGTAGCCAAGGGGAGCAGGATGGGGAGAAACCTGAGACAGAAGGACCCTAAGTGGTCCCTTCGAGGCTGCAGGGTGGCAGCAGAGACAGTAATCCTACAACGTAGATCTGGTCTTTAGTCACTTCCCAGGAACCAAGAGCTTAGGCTGCCCTATGCTTTCTGCCCAAATCAGAAGTGGAAACTGCGGTTTCCAAAGGTCCTTCCTGATCTGCAATCTCTCAGAAATAAACTGTTAGCCTGGAGACATTTCTAAAGAGATAAAGTCAAAGATTGGGTGTGAGAGGGTGGGGGTGGCAGGGCACAGGCAGGATTTGGAAAATTAGGGCCTGATACAAGTTCTAAGATCTGTTCCACCCACTCCTGATCTAGATAAACACTCCCGCCACCCACACTGTATACTAGGCCAGAATTTCCTCCTGAGCCTGTGATGCAGTTGAGGGCTGGGATGTGAGTTGGGGTGGGGATGGAAATTGGTTCCCTTCTCCCCTCCAAAATGGACCTACTGGAACTGCCTCAGCCACTTCCATTCAGGCTGTCACCCACCTCTTCCCATGAGGTTGCCTCAGATCACCATCTGACTGGCCCAGCTCTTGGCATCTCCACTCACCCCACACTCCTGACATGGGTGCTGCCCACTTAGAGAGATGACCAACTGGCCGTCTACCCAGCTCGGAAGCTGAGCACAGTCCGAAGGCCTGTGCCATAGCCCTCACCTGCTCTCCTAAGAAAAGAGATTCACTATCACATTAAATGATGGTATGAAATCACCATGCTAAATTAGTGCATCAAATGCAGGATTGGCCAGTCAGCAGCTGAGGGGTCTCTGTCCATAGCCCCGTAATTGGCCCTGGGCTAAGGATGGAGCAGGTCGGGGCACTAAAGGAACACTTCCGCTTTTTGGAGGCAACAAGTTCTTAAAAAAATAGCTTCAACCCAGAAGACCTGGGTTGACGTCACCAGCTGAACTCTTGCTGGCTGAGTCATCTGAGGGGTAGACCACTCACCCAAGTCTGTTAGTTTCTTCAACTGTGAAATTGTCACGATAGCTAGTTTAGGACCAAGTGATGCAGCATTTGAGAAAAATAGACTTAAAAAGAGTTCTTCCTCCCACAAGATCAACTGCAGGCCTACTACTCCTCAAAATGTTCAGGATAAAAGATAAAAAAAGACAATAGTAACCGGCCAGACCCCTGCTATCAGGAAGTTCCTCCAGTTTCCATCATTACTGATAACTATTGACCAAGTAGGGCCACCCATAAGAAGCAAATGGAGAACTCTGACAGAGGATGAAAAGTTGCATTTTCCAAAGATGTGTGCCCCGCCCCCTTGCTCTTCTGGTCCCAGGACTGACACTCCAGGGTGAGTTCACGTTCCTTCCCCATGAATCTGGGTGTGGCTGTGACTGCCGTAACCAATGGAGTATGAGGAGAGCAATATGGATCATAATAAAGTGAGGTCATAAAAAGAACACAGTCCATGCCTGGTTCTCCTTCTCAGTAACCCAGATACCATGCAAGAGAAGCCGGATCTAGACCACAGGAAAGGAACTGAGGCCCCCAGGTGATAGCCAGCATCCATGGCTAGATGCTGACCAAAGGATCTTGCAGATGAATGATCCCAGTCTCCAGGCTTCCAGTCTCCCAACTTCGACCCCAGACATCCTGGAGCAGAGATAAGCCGTGCACATCCCCCCTGCACTCCATCCAAACTCCTGATCCACACAACCCATAAAGGTAATGTTGACTAAAAAGATACACAACGTGAGTTTTTGATTAGTCACTAAGTCATGTCTAACTCTTTGCAACCCCAGGGTGCTCTGTCTATGAGATTCTCCAGGCAAGAATACTGAAGTGGGTTGCCATACCCTCCTTTAGGGGATCTTCCCGACCCAGATATTGAACCCATGTCTCCTACATTGGCAGGCAGATTCTTTACCACTGAGACATTAGGGAAGCACAATGTGAGAGTTGTGAGTTAAGTTTTATTTGGGTCACAATGAGGATGACAGCCTGGGAGACAGCACCTCAGATAGCTCTTAGAGACTGCTCCAAAGAAACAGTGGGGAGAAATCAATATATAAGATTTTGATGAAGGGGGAGTTCAGTGCAATCAAGCACTCAATTTACAAAAGGTATTCTGCTAATCACGAGGAGCTGATGTCACTATGAAGGGATTTAATGCTTTTCTAGACAGAGGAGCTGCAAGGATTGGGATCATGAAATAAGTTCCTGAAAATAAAACTATCTAAAGACCTGTTCCACCAGTTTCCCTGGAGCACAGAGTGCCTTACTTTCTATCTTGAACTCTCTTCAGGGAGGGTCAAAGGTCAGTAGCCACAGCAGCACAGGCAGATGGCAAATGCCCTTGTTGATGTTCAGTCGCTGGCAAATGCTCTTGGCAAGTGCCAATTAGTAGTTGACAGTAACAAAGAGTGTCATTCCCGCTAAATCTTGGGGTAATCTTCTAGGCCATGTTAGATAATCAGATCATTTAGGACTAGCAGGAATGTTCAGTTCAATTCAGTTTCTCAGTCATGTCCAACCTTTTGCAACCCCATGGACTGCAGCACGCCAGGCTTCCCTGTCCATCACCAACTCCCAAAGCTTACTCAAATTCATGTCCATTGAGTCGGTGACTCCATCCAACCATCTCATCTTCTGTTGGCCCCTTCTCCTCCTGCCTTCAACCTTTCCCAGCATCGGAGTCTTTTCTAATGAGTCAGCTCTTTGCATCAGGTGGCCAAATATGGGACCTTCAACACCAGTCCTTCCAAAGAATAGTCAAGATTGATTTCCTTTAGGATTGACTGGTTTGATCTCCTTGCAGTCCAAGGGACTCAAGAGTCTTCTCCAACACCACAGTTCAAAAGCATCAATTCTTTGGTGCTCAGCTTTCCATACAGTCCAACTCTCACATCCATACATGACTACTGGAAAAACCATAACTTTGACTAGACGGACTTTTGTCAGCAAAGTAATGTCTCTGCTTTTAAATATGCTGTTTAGGTTGGTCATAGATTTTCTTCCAAGAAGCAAGCATCTTTTAATTTCATGGCTGCAGTCACCATCTGCAGTGATTTTAGAGCTTGAATGGGCAATGTAGAAAAAAATTTTTTTTAGTATTTATTTATTTGGCTGTGCCAGGTCTTAGTTGTGGCATGAGAGATCTTTGATCTTCCTTGCAGGATAAAGGATCTTTAGTTGTGGTATGTGGGATCAGTGATCAAATCTGGGCCTTCTGAGCAGCATAGAAATTGAGGGAGAAAGTGCCCTAGAGGAGCTGAGTTAGTCAGATGGAATGGCATTAAATGTGGAAAGCATTACTAGCCTTGACCATGTGGTTTCTAATTCTGTCCTGTTGTGAAATTGCTCCCTCAAAGGCCACCAACAAACTCCCAAATGACCAAACACCTCAGCCTTTTCTCCATACTCATTCTCCTTCACTTCTTTCCTTGACTTCCCGTCAAAATATACAATTATCACATGGACATGCTTCTCTACCCTTCTCTGCTTTGCTTTACTCACTGGCTCCTCTTCTCCCTCCCACCTTCCTACTAGGCTGTAACCAATTTGCTTCCCAAAGACTTGGTCCTCTCTCTCTAACACTGGCTTTCAAAGAGCTCACTCCTTGATGAAACTACCCCCTGTGTGTAGAGTCTCCCATGCCAGTATCTCCATAACTAGTCCTATTCATCAACTGTGCTGTGCTCAGTCACATCCGATTTTTTGTGGCCCCACGGACTGTAGCCCACCAGGCTCCTCCATCCATGAAACTCTCCAGGCAAGAATACTGGAGTGGGTTGCCATTTCCTACTCCAGGGGAATCTTCTCGACCCAGGGATTGTCTCCTGCATTGGCAGGAAGATTCTTTACCACCAGAGCCACCTGGAAACCCTATTCATCAACATGAACTCCTATCTTGTATTTCCAGTTTCCCTCTAGTCATGTGTCAATGCCTTATTTCTTTGCCCCCTTGAATCCAACACATCCAAAGTGGACCCTCTGTAATGGATTGCTATCTGGGCCTCACCCAGATCCAGTTTACCAGCTGGTCTACTCATCCTCAGGAACCAGGCTTGTTGTCTGATAACCCCACACAACTGTCCCCTTTTCTGGAAAGTTGACTCGGACCGAACGGTAGGCAAGCCACTGCCCCCACAGCACACTTTGGACCGACCTCCACCATTGACTACCTGATGCGCGGCTGCAGAACACCAGCCCCGTCCGCTCAAGATGGCGTCGGCTCTGATTTGATTTGTGCCAGAGAATCTCCCTGTAGACTTGGATTATGGCTTAACCCACATCCTTGCTTAGATTCTTCCCTTTGTCATTTTATTCCCCTCACTCTTCTTCTCCTTCTCCCATCAGTCCTTTGGAGAAAATTTCCGTGCCAGTCTCTGCCTCTAGGTGACCCAACCTAAAACATCTATCAAGCCAGGTTCACTTGTTTTCTCGTTTCTTGGCCACCCCACCCTGAAACTCTCTATCAGGTTAGCCATCAATCCTAACATATTTTCTAGCAAATGCCTCTCAGATGCATTTCTTCCTCCTCATTCCCACTGCCCCCACATAATCACCTCACCTGGGTTGTGAAATTGGTCTCCTCTCCAACCTCCCTGCCCTTTCCTGTTTTTCCTCCCTTGCCCTGACCCCCACCAACCTGACTCACACGTAAATGCCAGATTAAAATCTCTCAAATGCCTTTGATCATGCAGCTCCCCTACCCCAAAGTTCACTGTGTCCTGTTTCTAATGGCACTAGATAAAGATTCTTTTGTCTGCTTTCCTGGACTCTCACTGAGATCTCGCTTTCACCTTGCTTATTTAACTTAATTTTCCAGTATTTCTAATTTTCTATTCCAGCTGGCGCCTTAAAAACTCCACAAAGAACACTTATTCCCATCACACCAGCGCCGCTCTCCCCTTTCTCCTATGCTTTCCTAAACCCTGCCTAGCAGTGGGAGGGCCAGCCAGCTGTCCCCCAGTATCCACCCTTCCCTTCCTTTCCGTTTCCAGCCAGGCACAGGGTTGCCTTGAGTAAATAAGATATATCCCAGCCTCCCTTTGGAGAAGGAAATGGCAACCCACTCCAGTATTCTTGCCTGGAGAATTCCATGGACAGAGGAGCCTGGCGGGCTATAGTCCATGGGGTCGCAAAGTGTCGGACATAACTGAGTGACTAACACACAGCCTCCCTTGCTGCTGGATATGGTTAGACGACTTTGCTTCAGCCTATTTCATATAAGCAGAAATTCTGTGCTTTACTTCTGTCAATGAATTTACAGAAAGGGATGTGTCTCTTTGCCCTTCTCTGTCCTACTGACTGGAATGTGGAGTTTGGGCAGCCATCCTAGATCATGAAGTAAACAACCATGTATTCAAGACATAAGACAACAAAATAGAGCTTCTAGCCAAGCCTGAACTGCCAATCTCAATCTAGACTTTGCTTCTGTTGGAGAAAATGAATTTATAGCTGCTGCTGCTGCTAAGTCATTTCAGTCATGTCCGACTCTGTGTGACCCCATAGACGGCAGCCCACCAGGCTCCCCCGTCCCTGGGATTGTCAAGGCAAGAACACTGGAGTGGGTTGCCATTTCCTTCTCCATGTGTGAAAGTGAAAATTGAAAGTGAAGTTGCTCAGTCGTGTCCAACTCATAGCAACCGGATGGACTGCAGCCTACCAGGCTCCTCCGTCCATGGGATTTTCCAGGCAAGAGTACTGGAGTGGGTTGCCATTGCCTTCTCCGGAATTTATAGCTAGTAAACCACTATTCTAATTTTTTGTCACTCACAACTGAACCTAATCCTAACTGACACACATACTCAACTTTTCTGTTAACCATAATGAGTTTCTATGGTTCGAGAGCAAACACCAAGCAAGGAAGGTAAAAAGCTTTAGAAAAATTAAAGGAAGCCGAGGAAAAGTGCACAGGGCTTTAGAAAGATATTTCTAAATCACTACTGGCAGGGAAGTGGTGATGATTATGTAAGGAGAACCTAGGCAAGCCCAGTCAACATGCAGGCTGGATTTCCATGCACTGCAGAAATTCTGAGCAGAGCTGACCTTGTATAAGCGAGTGTTTATAAGGTAGTTGAACTGTTCTGTGGCTCTGCTCACATCTGGTGAAGGAAAGAAAACAGCAGATGCATGCTCTGCTGAGAAACATTTAACAACTGCCTGGAGGTTGGGGGGAGTCAAACTGGCTGCATTTCCAGTTTCCATGGTGTAAATATTCTCATCAAGGTCACCTAAAAGCTACCAATGTTATGTCAGTTGGCTCACAAAATTCATGAAAACATCACGATCTGCTCTTGTGAGCTGGTTTGAGCTGGTATGCGCTGGCTCCAGTACATGGGCGAGGGGCAGGGGAGATAAACGGCAATTCATGTAATCAACCTCACTAGGTGCCAGGCACTGTGAGAGGCATTTTACATGTATTATCATCCTTAATCTTTTTACTTTTAAAGGGGTTCCCTGGTGGCTCAGTGGTAAATAATCTGCCTGTGAATGCAGGAGACAGATTCGATCCCTGGGTCAGAAAGTCTTTTGGAGAAAGAAATGGCAACCCACCCCAGGATTCTTGCCTGGAAAATCCCATGGACAGAGGAGCCTGGCGGGCTACAGTCTATGGGGTCGCAAAAGAGTCAGACATGACTCACCTACTAAACAACAACAAGTATCCTTTTATTCAACCCTAAGAGGTAAGGCCAAACTTCCCCAACCATCACTCTTTG